ATTAAGAGTGTTTTGGACAACTATTTCCTCCAACAGTTGTGTGCCAAGAAGAGCTACGTTATCATATAGCTCAAGAACTAGGCTTAGCATCTCTAGGGTAAAAGAGTACTGAATGTGAATTCCAGTAAAATGTTTTCAATTTGCATCTCAATTTGACACTTTACTACTGTTCTCTCAGTGAAGGATCACCATGTCTCTCTCATTTGTTTCAGTCTTGAAATAATTTATTCTGAAGCAGAGAGATAACAGGCCAATCCCAAGGATGACAGAGTTCAGGTGCACCCTGTGGGTGGAGGATTGGCAGATAGGGTACAATTACTAGAATCTGCCAGAGGGGCTAATCTGCTGAAAGTAAAATGGGCTTCTGTAGAAACAGATAAATATCTCACACTGGTTTTTAAACATGCAATTTGCAACACTATGAAACTGAAAACTGAAAAGAATGGTTATAGCAACTATTGTTTCAACCTTAGAAGCAGTGACAGTAATGAAAACATCATACCAATGTTTACTACAATAAAACTCTTGGTTTTCTGTGTTTTGTGGGGGCAACCAAATAAAGTAAAAATAGGGAAAAAACAGAAGATGCATCACTTCGGCCTAAACACACTGTGTAAATCTACTGTGGTTTATTTGTAGAGCTAAGATAATAATAACTTAAAAATGACTTTAAGGAATCCCAAGAAGTTGTATATTTTATTACTTTTAGCAAATAAAGTAACTACACCTATCATGAGCCTACTTTTAGGCTGCAAAGCCCAGATACTAGATGTACTGTAGAATGAGAAATGGACCAAAATGATGGTATAAATTGTCAATGGCAAACCAAAGCGACGAATGTAGGTAGAAAGTCATGCTGAATCATTATCATTTACTTGGGCAGAAATGACACCTTCTAGATTACAAAATCCATTTATTGATTTAAGCTTAATCTTATAGCTAGCATCACAAAAGCAGACTGATCATAGATATCTCTGATGCATTCTGAATGTAAGTCTGAGGACACTATTACTATTTTAGAGAAATATATTTTACCTCCACAATGGAGTAAAATACCATAAGACTAAAAGATACAAATGTAAATTTTTACTGTTAAATAGGGACGCTTATTTTAAAAGATGGACCTTTAAGATATCTGAATAACAACATTTACATCTGAAGGTGACAAAGTACTCTGATGTTTGCAAATGTGAAATAACCAGTTAATAACTAAACTTTTGGAGAGCCAGCCCGGTGGTGCAAGTGGTAAAGTGCATGTGCTCCACTGTGGTGGCCCAGGGTCCGCCGGTTCAGATCCTGGGTGCGCACTGACACACTGCTTGTCGAGCCATGCTGTGGTGGTGTCCCATATAAAGTGAAGTAAGATAGGCACTGATGTTAGCTCAGGGCCAATCTTCCTCAGTAAAAAGAGGAGGATTGGCATCAGATGTTAGCTCAGGGCTGATCTTCCTTACACACAAAAAAATCTAAACTTTTGGTAAACAAGTTGCCTCATTACTATCAACACATTTTTCTTATTAGTATTGGTAAAGAAATAGTAATTTAAGTAAAATACCTTTTTTTGCTAAAGTTATGGGTAAAATTACCTATAGGAATTGCTCTTCTATTACTTTGCCTACTTCTTAAAGAAATTATTCTAGAGACCTACAAGTTTGTTCTATTCTCTTCTCTCCTTTTATGAACTTCCGTTAACACACAATCAGCTAGGTCCCTTCCTGCTATAAATTAAGGACTGATAGGCAGTCTTCAGCTCAGTTTAGGCAATTTTCCCTAGTCTTAAAATTTGATTCAGGCTTGAGTTAGGCTTAATTTCACAACTGCACCCAATATTTCACTTACACACATGAATAATTTATTATTTGAATAGTTATTCAGAATATCCATTATGAAAACTTTAGAAATATATTGAGAAAAACCCCTAAAACAATGTAGAATACATTCTGTACTTTTTGTTGATCAACTAATCTTATGGTCCATTCTTACTAATTATGATATTATTGCTTACAAAAGAAATAAGAATAACAGCCCCCAATATTTTACATGATTTATGAAAGAAATCAAATATGAAAATCTAACTCCTCCAGCCTGGAATACATTGCATTTTGGATGCCTTGCATGTCAGTACTGAACTTCACCCTTCACGCCTTAACATAGCCCCCACCCCTTTCCAACTGGAATACGCAAAACTTATGACCTTTAATTCCCAACACGTTAATGATCTTTTGAACTAAGTTTTAACCCTTATAGTCAACAAACCTTTCCTAATAGAAGTGCAAGTGTTGTCTAGGACAGCACAGTCCAATGGAAATCTCTGTGAAGGAAATGTTCCGTATCTATACTGTCCAGTAGGGTAGCCACTAGCCACATGTAGCTATTGAGTCCTTCAAATGTGGCTAATGGGACTAAGGAGCTGAAATTTTAATTGTATTTAACTTTAATTAATTTAAAGTTAAATAGCCACATGTATTGGTTTCGCAGTGGTCTAGTAGACCCTTCAAACATTCAGGTAAGTGTTAGAAGTGGAATGTAGATTATGGGCAATCCAGGAATCTTAAATTAACAGCATCATGTTTTAAAAACTCTGTCATTCATTCCTTCAGTATGAATTTTTCCAGAAGCTTCACATTTTAAAAAAGTGAAACCCAAACCAACCAAATTCTTTAGGCTGCTTTTCTGTATGAATCATCTTTTTGCAAAGAAGTGTAAGACTGATTTTATTGCCAACTCTGCCCCCTCTTCTACAGACAGAACTCAGTGATTAGGTTCCTGCATTTATTTAGGTTATTCTCCTAAAAAATATGGTTTCCATACTGCAAATAAATGACAGGAACTTTTCCACTAAATTATCCCAGACAGCACAAATGTTCTTTCCAAAAGTGGAGACTGGAACCACAGCCCCCTCACATTGCCTGTTACATCTGTTTATGCTTATAGAAGTGACATCCACTTTGTAGACAGAGAATGCCAATTTCTTGTGAAAGCACCCAGAATTTGGTGAGGCTTGAAGAAAAAGAAAAGAAAAATCACTGTTCAGAATAAAAGACACATAGAATTGTGTAGCTACAAAGACCTTTTGAAATCAAGCAAGAAAAGATTTTGCTCCCAGAATACAGATTCTGTGTATAGACTTGCAGAAGTTCACATCCAGCCATAATTATTTACTAGCTGATAAAGCTGTGGGTAAGTTACAAAACTTAAATTTCAGTTTTCCCATCTGTAAAACTCAGATAATAATAGTTCTGTTGGGAAAACTCGTGTAAGGCTTTGAAATGGGCAAAAGATTACTGGGTGTCCTTTTGATGGAATGCTGGATGTTATACAGGGGGAGTTTGTGGTTCTACAGTAGTCTGCACCTTTGACTGCCTTTGAGCTATTTTACTACTCTATAGGCTGTAGAAACTTTGGTAACATAAATGGTTCTTATCTATAGAAATGCGAAATTATTTTGTTCCTTAGAGATACAGTTGATTTCTGCCCTGTAGAACAGATAATTCAAAACACCACATTTTAGTGCCTTGTAGAATATTAACCAGTTTTGCGTCTTTCCTGATTGACCATAAAGGTCTGTTCTTCACATTCTCATTTGAATGGGTTTCTTTATCGTGCTGGTTCTCTCCCTAATGGGTCAAATAATATTTTTGACACATCTTCATTTCATATTTCTATGAGAGCCATATTTTTACCTTCTTGAAAAATTATCCTTTAAGAGCTTCTATTCCAGAGTTTTGGGAGGATTGGTTTAAAGGTCTATATTGAAGGTCATGGTCAGTTTTATATTTTGCAGTAAGGCTGTAACACTTCCGGTGTTGTTTGGAAGGGGGAGGAGAGGGTACTGAGCATTTATAAAAGGGTGGGGCTGGGGGTGGGGGTCTGAAAAACTCTCTCCTGACAAGAAAGTCAGAAGACTTCCTCATCCCTTTCCTTTTAGCAGCGGAGCCTTAAGGTCAAGGTGGGTGTTAGGCGGAGCGCGCAGTGGCCTAGGTGGAGGCCACACGGAAGCTGGGCCTAAGTGTTGGCCTTCCAGGCCAGGACAAAGGCCTGGGGTTTTAGATGCCCTGGGGTCATGGAGTTAACCGTAGCAGCGGGCAGCCCAAGAACCCAGTTCCCGCCGAACCACCAGTTCCCGGAGCAGAGAGGCGGACGGGGCCTAGAAGGACAGGCCTTGCCCCAGGCCTGAGAGGCCCCTCGCCCACGGCCGAGGGGGTGGGGCGGCCTCGCCTCGGGCCGGTGCTTTTCGCCCTGCGTTGGCCGCCAGAGGCTCCCTCTCTCTCCCTCTCCTGGGATTTTGCTGCCGGGCTCCCTCTCTCTGCGGCCCTAGAGTTAATCCCATCAGCCGAGGTGAGGCACCTGTTACCCCAGGCCTTCCTCACCGCCGCGGCCTCTCCCCCATTACACCCCGGCGCCCGGGCCAGCCAAACGGCCCGGCGCG